TATATATATATATATATATATATATATATATATATATAAATATATATGTCTGCTGAATGTTAATCAATCATGTATTTAACAACCTTTGGAAGAACTTGAACACTTAAAAATAAAAGTAGCACTTTCTTGAACTGTTTTCTTAGATTCTTCAGGGTGGACAAAGCTTAAAATTTTTCAGCCACTATATTATCAGCGGCCAACTTCCCCTCCCAGTATTGTTATCTATGATAGCCAAAATTTCCATATCGGCCGAGTTCTAATATAAAGAAGGCAAATATCCAAATTAATGGTTCTACCTCTAGTCCCAGCTTATATGTGGAAGGATACATTAATTAACATTTTCCATAAACTGCAGCTCCACAAAAGCCAACCACATTAAAATGGTTGTTAATGATACTGACCTCTTTACAAGATATTTTTTTATACTGTGAAAACCTGGAATCTTCATATTCCATGTGGATCCATGTGTGCTGCAGACTGAATACTCTCCAGCCCATGGTTAGTACTTACCGAGACAATGTGCCCCGTCATGTCAGACAGCAAAGAGCTGCTCAAGAGCACCAGCCTCTGAACGTAATCTGATTGAGCATCCACAAGATGCAACACGACAAGCCCCGATCCACACAAACTCCACCCTGCAAACCACATGACTCAAAGGATCTAATAGCAGACACCACGGGCCACGTCCACAGGTCTCATGTCCATTCCCTAATAAGTTAGAGCTGGTTTGGAGTCATGAGGTCGACACAAGAGCCAGATCACTTTATTCCTCAGATGATTTGTTTCTCAAATGAATTCTTACTTCCACAATCTCACTTTCTGGTTTCAGATGCTTTTAATACAGTTAGCGGTTACGTAAAATGCCATTCCATTTAAGATACAGTAGATGATGGCTTATGTGCTTTCAAACGTTTTTTGTCAGAAGAAGCAAAATCACCACCAGCAGACCTGGATAAAGATTACTTTCACACCAAAACGGAACTGAAAGAAAACACTAAGAGCAGCATAAAAATAAGATTAACGACATGTTTGCAGCAAATTCCTGAGAATTCGTCAGGAATAACCTGGATTTAAGTGTTTGAAAACATACAGGCGTTCTGCTCAGTGGTGTGTTGTCAGAAGCATTTGTAATATGGGGCGGATACACGCGCTAGCTAAGATGCTACTGACTTTGAGTGCCGCTTCTCTCACACATCCTAACCCCGCCCCCCCACCCCGATCAACAACTTCCTCCGCTAAAGACGTACTGTGTGTACCAGACTCCGCATGCACTGTCCGCAGATTGTTAAAACTTCGTACTCGAGTGTACATGCTGATGGGCTGCAGCCCAGCTCTGCAGGCAAGGGGCGTTTACCTTCGGGCCAAACTGAGGTCGCCGATTGGTCGTTTGCTGACACGCCTAATGGATTGCTTGACAGGTCGCAAAAACAAACAAACAAAAAAAACGAGAGCTGCCGGCGGCCCTGGGTAGAGACAGCTGGCAGCCTAGGAGCAACAATAGCGGTGCTCTGTGTTTATATGTGGTTAATAAAA